AAATTTTTATTGTCAAATTTATGATTTATAAGAAATGTAATAATTATAAATGATATTAGTAGAAGATTAAATATTAATATATATGTATATATTAACATATATGCTTGTATAATTGACAGAAAAACTGTCGATTATAGAAGTCTAATCGACAGCCAAAGTATCTGTTGATTATACCTTTATAATCGATAGCTATTTTTTTCGATTATACCCAGTATAATTGACAGTTAATATGACTGTCGATTATATTGCTATAATCGACAGTTTTTTCATAATCGAGCGAGTTTTTGTCGATTAATGAAGTATAATCGACAGCTTTTTGCCTGTCAATTATATTTTTGTCGTTTAAACTGTGTTTTTTAGTAGTGTTATCTTTACTCGGGATCCGGTTTTGCAATAGCAGCCAAGCAAAAGAGCAAACCTTGTTTGGCTCCATTTTGTTCCAGCATTTCTTCATAATCCTTGTACAGTCGTTTGTCTCACAAGATAATAGTAATTGATATGCTGATTTTACAGAGTATTGTCCTTTTTTTTCGTGAGACCAGCACCAACTGTCCTTCTTTGCTCTCTGTGGATGTTTACAGCTGAGTAACTGATGCAAGTGTTCCACTTGGTTATCCTCTCATGTGTGCAGTTCCCTTTTCCATCGTAAGTTCCAGCTCCATGTGTTTCCATTCCAGTGGCCCATTTGTTGCACCGAGCTCCATTTATCTGTGCACAGAGAAAAAAGTTTTGGGAACAAGTCCCTCAAGCTGTTATCTCTATTGCACTTATTAACCAAGGTTTTTAAAACCGGATTGGATCGGTCGGTTGAACCGGTTGGATTGATACTTGTTAATGAAAATGGTTGGGTTTATATAAAAAAACCATTTGATGTTAAAATCGGTCAAAACTAGTCAAAACCAGTGAAACCAATGAAACCGATGGAACCGAAAAAACCACCGGTTCAATTTCTCATGCAATCTTCTTTTTATTTTTTCCAATTTCACCTTCACCATTCCTTTCTTATACCGATTTTAACTCTGGAAGTGTATGTTGCCCGCCTGTGGCCTGCCCCTTTCATCAGATTCTCCTTTGTTGTTTGGATTGGTCGGTTCATTGGTTCAATCGATTGAATCGATCAAACCAGAAACTAGACCTGAAAACGGTTCAATGACCGGTTGGGTTTTAAAAACCTTGTTATTAACTTGTTATTTTGTTAATTAAGCTAAACTCTTTCCTTTCTCTCTAACCTTGGATTTATTTTATGTTGGGGGTTA